TAATGCCTACAGCACCTGGTCTTCCTAGATTCCTAGGTGGTCTCCCATCCAAGTACTAACCAGGCCTGATCCTGTTTAGCTTCCGAGATCAGACGAGATCGGGCACGTTCAGGGTGCATGGCCATAGAGTCTCTTTCCTTCTTTACGCTTCTACATCCCCAAGATCATTCACCAGCCAAAGCAGGATTCCTGTCACTGATGACATTAACACCCTTAGCCAGTGTCACATCTCTGCTCATCACAACATTTGGCCAGGGGGACAATGTCCTGGATGACCTGCCTCTGTTCACGTGGTCACTGTAGTTCATTGGTATGTAGTACTCTGCTCACAAGAAACTTTCACTTATATTATTGCCAGCCATTCTGAAATACTTGTCATCAAGTATATATAATTATCAATTTCTAAATGAGAAACCAAGCATTGGACAAGCACATAATCACAGTGGTACTGAGCCTAGAACCTCCAAAAGTGCTTTCTGGAATAGAAATGGGGGTGGGTGAAATATGTACTTGAAAAAGCTACTCGTTTTCCATTGCAGTTTTCTGACTTTCAGTTGAGAAGGGGGTCAGGAGACTAGGAAAGGGTATGGTGGTTTCCTCCTGACCTATTCCCCATCACTCTCTGGTGTTTTTCTTCTGCAGTGACGATCTAACCACAACAGGCACTGACAACTGCACTTTCAACACCTGCCAGAAAGCTCTTGGGAGGGACGATTTTACAAAGATTCCCAATGGGGTGAATGGCATTGAGGACCGGATGTCAGTAGTATGGGAAAAAGGCGTGGTGAGTTTCATGAGATACAGACTGTTTTGCCTAATTCTTCTGCCAGGATCCAGCCTGTTTCAGGGGTAGTAAACTTTCACAGAGAAGATTTTTGATTGTTTTTACTAGAGTGGAGACTGGGAATGCGACACCATCACCACTGCCACCCCCACCCCCAGGATAATCGTTTTTTTCTCTGCGTGATTTAGTTTAGAGGATGTGTTATGCCTTTTTGATGCATTTAGATTGGGTGCCAATGTAGAGTCTTATTCTTTGAAATGTTATAGCCCTTCTACATGATTCCTCATGTTCTTAAATCCCAGTTCCTTGTATGTCACTGGTATAAATTCTTGGAATGATTGAAAATACGTGAAGGCTTTTTATTATGTTCATGTAACCTTTTCGTGAAATCTCTGTAGATGTCCCCTTTTAGAACCCTTGGATGTCATATTTTTAAAATCGCTGCATGAGGGCACATAAATAAGAATTAAAAATCTAGAAAGAGATATTTTCGATTCCTACGATTTAAAAATTTCTCCCTGAGGATGGAGGAGAATCAAATAGCTAAATGTTCGTATTAACCTCTCTAGCCAGTTTACATGTATAGATGTGAAGATCAGTAGGGACACCTGCCTGGTAAGACCTGAGGTCCCCAATTTCATGCCATTCACACCCATCTCCTAGGATCCCTCCCTTAAATGACACATGAATCACATCTCATTCTTCAGAATCCCCTACGCATACCACCCACATCTAACTCTCATTATTTCCCAGATCTTGTCAATTTTATTTCCAAACGCCTTCTTATTTCCATCTTTATATCCACCACTCTGCTTTGGGGCCTATTGATTGTTGGAACTTCTGCAGTCGTCCCCACAGCCGGTGTCCCTGCCTCTGGTCTCACTCGCTACAATCTATTCTATGCTCCAGTACCAGAGTCACCTTTCGCAAATGAAGGTCTGTTCATGATACCTTCCTCTCTAAAACCCTTTCATTGTCTCCATGACTTATATGATGATATTTGAACAATTAATTTACATGTAAAGATCTTCAAAACATCTCCGTAGCCCCGTCTTCTACTAATCATTCTCTTCACACCCCCTTTTCCTCTACCCTAACTCTCTCCATCCCCGATGACTTCTCTTCTCTTTCTCTTTTCTTGTATTTCCTTGATAACAGTCCAACCTTTCTCTTTAAACTTGTATTATGAGTATTTTCACTACAGCAAGTTTTCATAATCTATTACAGTTCCCAAGTATATAAGTGGCTTTAAAATGATTGAATATTTAATAACATACAAGAAATTATGTTATTTTTTTAAAAACATTAGGATGGTTTATTTATGGGAATATTACTTTTGGGACATAGTTCTTAATTAATTAATTAATTAATTTTTGAGATGGGGACCCTTTGATAATGAAATAAACTTTAAGGATGTATTTACCATATGAATGTGCATATAGATAAACTCTCAACACTAAAAAAAAATAATAATTTTAGCAGGATTACATCCCTCCAATGTCTGTCCATTAAAAAAAAATCTCTTGCAGTAGACTATCCATGATTGTTGGTACATGTAAAGTTTAAATGCACAAAATCGAACCTCTTGAGCTGATTCTTTCTTTTTCTAAAAGTGTTGTGACCTGATTTAAAGGTCTGTCTTACTTTAACTCTATAATATTCCATTTAATGTCTTTATGATCACTCATAAATCTTGGGTCTGCAATATATAAGCCACATCATAAATGCAGTAGACGGGCAGTAAACTTTAAATAAGAAATGAAAATACCATTGCTAACATTTAGCTGTTGTCTATGTGATTCTAGGAAGTATGAAAAAATTAGCAGTGGTATTTTTTTAAGCTGATGTATTTTTAAAAGGTTATCTTCGGGCTTCCACATGCTATCCCACCATCCCCATCATCATTATGATTAGTTAAGACTTACCAGCATCCACAAATGTGTTCAGCTCTACAACATAAGAAATTAGATACAATTCTTTTTGGTTCTAAAAGATACAAATTTTGTACTTTTATGATAGAAGATTTTTAAATATTTGATCATTAAAACAAATGCATTTTCTTCCTTGAATTGCTTTATACAGCATAGTGGTAAAATGGACGAAAACCGGTTTGTGGCAGTTACCAGCACAAATGCAGCTAAAATCTTTAATCTCTATCCAAGAAAAGGAAGAATAGCTGTAGGATCGGATGCTGACATTGTGATTTGGGACCCAAAAGCCACAAGGTAAGTCTAAGTTCTTGCTTTCATTGGTTTCATAATGGAGGAAAAAGCACTAACTTGCAAAGAAATTATTCATTGGCCTTAATCAGCCATTTCTTATTAGGTGATTTATTTAGCCATGCTCAGATATTTTGTGCCTGTGCACAAGAGAAATGTTTTGATGTACAAATATTCCTTTGTTTTTCTTGGCATAGAGGATGCAAACGTTGTGTTGCTTACCGTTCCCTGGAAATAAATATGTGTATAAAACCAATACAAATTTAACATTTCAGTGCTTGGCAGACACCTGAATTCACATAGAGGAAAGGTACAGAGCAATGAAGAAAATAAAAGGCTTAGTTTGAAAAGGGCTGAATTCAAAACTCGAAATAATTACAGCCTTTTTTTAAGCTTTCAGATAGAAAAATTCCAGCACAAAGGATGTCACTTTTAGTTAGCCAAATTTTCCAGTTGAGTTCGTCTTGAGCCTGTCATTCCCAGTAGACTCCAGCTTTTTGTTTCCAGTTTCCATAATTCTATGTTAATATTGCAGGTCTGGCAAATTCCAACTCAGAAAAGCATCCAAAGAGGTAGAAGCTCTGTTAATTTCTCTTTACAGGACGTTAGCACAGATGACACCTGCATCCTGATTTGTGTTTTTTATAAACTTTGCAATTGTAATGGAGAAAATTCCAAATATTTAACATATTGTCTGTGTGTGCATGCATGCATGTGTAAACAGGGATATGATAGCTCCATCCACCTTCATTGTATATGCATTTTTTTCAAAGTCTATTGGGTTTTTCATTGTAGTAAGCAAAGATCTATAGTTTCTTGGGAGTGACGTTGTCACAAAGACCCAGTTACAACTGAAGTGCTCCTGGGCTACCTTCTGAGGAAAAGAAGATCATTGGAGAAGCACTTTCCTACCATCGCTCTGAGCATAAAAACAAATCTCTTAGAAGATACTTGTCTTTTTAAGCTTGACACTCTTCACTCTCCTCTGAGCACTCACTGTCTCAGCTCAGAAACCAGTTCAGGTAGCCAGCAGTTCTTGGTCATTGTGAGTAGCGTTTAGTAAATGTGTGTCACCTCGTTGCTGTTTTAGGATCCTTGCAATGCAGTAAATGGTGGTATGAACATCTTATTTACATAAATGTCCTAAGATAGCAACAAGGCACAACTCAGAGTCTTTGTTATTATGTTAACAAGAAACCATTGGCCATTTAGGAACCAAATATCTGGTTGTCAAATGATCTAGGCCCCTTTCCCTGAATAAGAGATTAAGACAAGTCCAACCCAATGCATGCAGCTTCTCTACAAGGCTAGAAAAATTGCCCGTGGGAAGACAATGGAAAAAAGTTGCTTAAAGTTGGATTGGTCTGTGAATGAATTGAGCATGCTGTGTTTAGAGAGCTCCTGATACTGTAAATGTCACTCTGCCAGGGCTGTTGTACACCACTGGGGCCTGCCTGCCCAGGGTCATTTCTGCTGCAATTCAAACAATTCAGGCTTCCTCAAGTACTGAGACAAGACAGGTCTTTTAAAATAACTTGTGGCTTAAGGAGATCATGAGACTTAATCAGAAAACCTAGATCATTTCAAAAGGGAGAAAACTACCATGTGGAAGAAAGATTTATGGGAAATGGTGTTTTTAAAGCATAGCATCTGGGAGAGTCATAACAATGATAATAATTAGTAATAATTTACGTGTGTGCAGCTCTCAGTGGTCTTAAAAATACTTCGGCATCTAGAATATGATTTACAAGGTAAGACAAACATGATCACCTTACAGTGATGAGAAAACTATAGCACAACAGCGTCTGTGCTAGGTTTGACACGACAACACTGATCCAGTGTCTTCGACTTTGCAAACTTGTTTGCTTTTCATGAGATTCAGTACCATGCTTGTGCCCTGATATCAAAGCAGAGCACTTTGTATCCTACTTGATTGTTCACGGTCCATTTTTGCTTCCAATTAAGTGGGCCAGTAACCAAAAGCTTTTTGGATTTGATTCTATTCTTTATTATTCCTTTTCTAAGGTGAAGGAGAAAGGAAAACACCCTACTGAATGAGGTGACTACTCAGTCTAAGTCTTAATGTGGTGAGCCATGGGAGGCCACTCCCTCTGGTTCTCCTTTTTAACCCTACCAGCAGCACCCAGCCTTAAGGTCTGCTCAGCTGTTTTAATTTCTGAAGATGACACCAGCTCAGGTGTAAAGCATTGTCTTCCTTAGACAACTGGACAAAGAGAAATGACCTGAAACTAAGGTTATGCATAATTCACTTACTTTATTTACCACGTATATTGTTGCTTGGAGGATATTTATATGCTGTGATTATGTCTCTTTGAGTCATGTTTTCGACTATATAAATTTAGACCACTTTCTCGCAAGTGTTAGTTACTGATTTCTTTAACATTGTTTTGTCCTTCCTTTCCTATTCAGTTGTTTCTGAATAGCACATAATGATCCAGATGCTCCGTTTTTTTTTTTTAAAGACCTATATATTACCTGCTTAATTTCCCTCATTTCTAATCTAAGAATAACTAACTTAAGGTCAAAGTAAAAAGCTTCTGTGCTTTTAAATTTCTTTCTATCTCTTTCTCTCATCAGTTCTTTAATATCCTTATACCTGTCCTCACTGTATAACAGTAATAATAACAGAAAACTAAATATTTACATTTTCATATATGTGTCTTTTGGGGTAAAGATGCATACTGACATTCGATTGTTAGTGCTAAGTCTTCTTCATCTTTGTCTGTTCGTTGTGTACACCTGGGCACATGAAAACCAGCACAATCCGAGAGCCTGATGTGTAAATTCTGGCCCCTGCTCCATCAATGCTAAACCCGGGGACCCACGCAAATGTCTTAGGGTCTCTGAAGATCAAGTCTCTCATATGAAAAATGAGATTATTAATAATTGTTATGCTTAGCTCATAAGATTTTTGTTAGAATCACGAGGTAATATATGTGCAAATGCTTTATAAACTAAGAAAGTGTTACACAAAGACAAAATATGTATTGTTACGGTTATCAAGTATGGCTGGCATCATTCTTTGCAGTACATTTTCATTGTTAGGGGTTCTAAGCTGCTTTGACTTTAGCGACTGGGGAGGCAGCCGAACCATAGCCTCGATATCTCTCAGCCTCAGATTCTTTTAAAAAACTGGAACCTATAGGAGGGGCTCCATGGAGCAGTGGTTAGCATGTCTGCTTTACATGCAGAAGGTCCTGGGTTTGCACCCCAGGTGGAGTCACGGACCATACCCTATGTGCGCCAGGCCCCGGGTGTGTGCTGTGAGTGTATGAGAGGAGACACCCCAGCTTCAGAGAACCAATTCTTAAGGGGAAATGGCAACATCCATAGGTCAGGGGTGGAAGTGAGTGAGAGGAATGAAAGAGGGGGAAAAAAAAACTGGAAACTATAAGATACTAGCAAACCGAGTACAGCAACATATTAAAAAGATTATACACCATGATCAAGTGGGCTTCATCCCAGGGGCCCATCACAGAGATGGTTTAACATATGCAAATCAATGAATGTGATACACCACATAAATTAAAAAATAATCATAAGATCATATCAATAGATGCAGAAAAAGCCTTTGACAAGATACGGCATCCACTTAACAAAATTGGTATATGGCCTTACCATAATAAAGGCCATACATGACAAACCCTCAGCGAACATTATTCTTAATGGTGAAAAACTGAAAACCTTTCCTCTAAGATCAGGAACAAGGCAAGGCTGTCCACTATCACCACTGTTATTCAATATAACATTGGAGGTCCTAG